GTTAAGGGGCATGGAGAGAGTTTCTGCCAACAGGAGGCGAGACAGTGGGGCGGGAATAGTGGGGAGAGGGGCAGGAGCAGGGGGGAGGGGCAGGAGGGGGGCACACGGGGGAACGGATCGGGAGAGGGCTGTGGGCAAGTGTGGGCTCGGAGTAAAGGACCGACCCCCTCCCCCGACCTCGAGTCGGCTCTACCACGACGACTACTGCACATGTGTAAAGAGTGGAGCAGTCCGAAGTCGGGTGAGCACTCCGGTCCTTCATTGGTGCCGCTCTCACGCGGAACCCTCCTCCTCCACCTCCTCCTCCACCTCCTCCTCCACCTCCTCCTCCACCTCCTCCTCCACCTCCTCGACCTCCTCCTCCACCTCCTCCACCTCCTCCTCCACCTTCTCACTCCTCACTCCCATCGCCGCCGAGAAGCGCCCCGAGCCCCCTCCCCACCGCCCCCCATTTCGGGGAGTTCCCTCCCCCCTCGCCTTCTCGCTCCTTTCCCTCGTGACGTCACCCTCTCGTGGGGACCTCCAAGCACGACGTGTCAACCCACACGGTGGACTACCCCGTGATCTTGGACAGGGAGATTGACTTTTCAGGTCCATACGGCGGCCAGCCGTTTCAATACGGGCACAACATTTTGTGTCTATTTGTTTGTGTCTCTCCCTTGTGATGGGACTCTGTAGAATGAACGTTGATATTTATAAGGGGCACGGGGTGACCAATGCAGTCTGCATTGGTCTGTAATAAGGTAGGGCACTGATAAGAGGTTGGCAGGTTTGCGTAAGTATCTCTACGCATGCAACAACTATGAATCGAACAGCGGCGCTTCCAATGCACGCGACTTGAGGCGTGAAGCGTGTAACGCGATGTTGTAGTTGTCGCCAAGTGCCTTACTCCATGGCGCTTTGCGAGCGAGCGAGCCGCTCACCCCCGCGGTGTTTCGGGGGTACGTGACGCGCATGGCTCACGAGCCCTCCTGGAGAAAAATCCACGTGTCCATGGAGAGAGAGACACGTACACTCTAAATATAGAGCAGGCATCAGGGTGGGGATCGAATCCACGACCTCCTGCATACCAGACGAGGTAGTTAATATATCCTAGCCACCGTGATGATGATGATGATGAGATTTACACGCAAACTCCAAATATACAGCAGCAGGCGTCAAGGTCAGGATCAGACTCACGACCTCCTGCATACCAAGCGAGGTAGTCAACATCTCCTAGCCACCGAGGCGTGCTGGTTGTGATAAAAATACCTTGTGGGAAATAAAACTTCCCATGAGAGAGAAACAAAAACAACACGCAATTATTATCATCAACGTCGTTCAAAATAAGCAAAGCAGGAAATTGGCCAAACATACAAACTTCAGGGCCCTCCCAAAAACAGCGTTGTTAAACCGAGTGAGGTTTTTTTTAATTTCCCCGAGATACGGTGCCGCAAACTGCTTTCTCACGCCACCGCTGTCGGAGCTCCTCCTCTGCAGGGAGCTCTTCTTACAGGAGTCTCTCTCGTGCGGATAAATGAACGGATTTAAATCGTGGAATATTCGTGTTACTCTTTGTCATTTCCTAAAACTCAACCCGCTGTCCTTACTTTTGTACTTGGGCTTTCGCGATCAATATGTTACGATTCGTAATTCCTTTATCTTGCGTTAGATCGCCGTGTAGGTGTAATGCGCATTTATACTGGTAGGAACGAAGTGGACCAGCCTACAATAGATTATATCGTCCGTCCGTCCGATGTCCGATTAGGTGTAGCAACATCGCCCCCTACTGCAAACACTTGGCAGGACCCTACTAAAACCTTTAGACTCAGTGAGGCTTTCCTGGCTAAACAAGTGTAACATTCCCTTATAATTCCCTGAGATAGTTTTTAATTAAAACATTTAAATTAAAAATTAACTCACAGCGGCCTAAAGCCTACAGCTAGGCCTAAAGCCTAGAACTAGGCCTCAAACTCTCTCTTCGTATCCTATTTGTTCGTTCCTACCAGCCCACCCCGCAGGGACCTGTTTTACTCTAACCCTTCCACTTCCCGACAGAGCCAATCAAATCAAGTTGTCACGTTACCAAATATACGCATTTATTTGGTTTTTATGCAAGTCGGAAAGTAAAATTCTATGTATGTTGAACTTCTTTTGCACCGTACGTAGCCAACCGTGCTGATCGGAGGTGCGGGGGAAGGACAAACTAAACACACACAGCAGTTCTAAAGAAATGAATTTTCAATCTAGATGATTTAAAAATAAAAAACACCCGCTAACACCTGACGACGCTGGGCTGTAAATCTCCAGCGAAACGTGGAGTCAAAATGCACCAAACTTTTGCAGCTTTTCAACATTCCTCCTCCTCTGCTGTGCTGTAACGCCAAGTCAAGTGGCACTGTTTGGCCACGTGACAACTCGGCCCGATTTCTCCCTGTGCTTGCCGTGGGACATGGGCAACGTGGCGAGCGAGGAGACCGCTGAGTGCGCTGGCTGAAGGGGCCTCTGGTCTCCCGCTGTCGGGATCCTCCTGCGGTACAACAACCAAGGGCGGAAGGAGCCTCCCCACTCGTGATGAAGAAGCCTCCGTGGCAGACACTCGGAGCGGCGGTGAGTGGGGAGACGATGAGCCGTGCCGTGCCGTGGCGTGGCTAGGCCGAGCACCTCTGTGATGAGCTTCATTCTTGGTGAACCGTCAGATTCTTGTTGGTTGGAACAAGTTCATGCGGCCCAACGCCACTTCTCGTCCTCAACTCTGACTTCGCAGTTCCCCGGCGCCAGGAGGACATCATCTGGGTGAACCCCTCCGCTGTTCCACCCACCCCCCCCCCCCCCCCCATTCACGTTTTCTCATCCGGAGCGGACACAGCCCGATCTCGCCAATGCCGTTCCCCATGTTCCCCCCCCCCCCCCCCCGGTGTTATTTTGGACGTGGATCAAACACCCTAAACCCTAAAATAATGCCCAATGACAGACGCTAATTACAAGTTGGTGTTCTTGCGATGCACGCGTATTCAGGTAATCATAGTTATTGTTTCGAACGCTTACAAACTAAATATAGAACACATTTTTGTTTCCTTATTCTAAGCTATTTCACTTTGGAAATGACACCTGCCAGTGTATTTTTTAAAAGGAGGCCCCCGTCCCCGGAACGACAAACCTCCTGAAGCGAACGGAATGCACAGAAACCGCAGCTCTTTCGTAAAGTACAGGGGGATCATAGTTATACAACATAGTTATTAAAAATAAAACACTCGAACTCGAGACGTGAGCCGCCACTCGATCGCTCGTCAACGACGGCAATGATAGCGGAAGCAGTGAGAGCGCAAATGTCATCATCATTAATGTCATTATTGTATGTCACCATTAATGTCATCGTCATTAATGTCATCATTAATGTAATTATTAATGTCATCATGTCATCATTAATAATGATGATGGCATTATGGCATTAATGTCTTCATCATGAATGTCATCAACATCAATGTCAACATTCATGTCATCATTAATGTCATAATTAATGTCATCATTAATGTCATCATTAATGTCATTATTAATGTCATAATTAATGTCATCATTAATGTCATCATTAATGTCATTATTAAATGTCAACATTAAATGTCACCATTAAATGTCATCATTATATCTTCGACATCGTGCCGCGCGCCCTTCTGCGTGACGTGCGACACCTCACTCCGCGTGCTGGGCGAATTGTCAGGGACTCGGTTCTGCGCGCAATTAGATTCGCTGCCTTTCCATGAACTCAGCTGCTGGAAGAAGCTCCCCGGCACTTGGGCAGTAGAAACATCGGAGATCGCGCTAAACCATTGACACGGAGTGACCCCACAAAAACCCAAATTGGATAGCTTTGCAGCACAACCGCACCTCCGATTGGCACGGTTGGCTACGTGCGGTGCGAAAGAAGTTCAACATACGCACATACAAGCGCAAAATCCTCCACACCACGGTTAGACCCTCTGCCATCATCACTAGAACAAAGACGATAGCCTCCAGAGAGAGAACCAGCACAAGGATAGGGGAGACATTTGCCTGCGCTGATTAAGAACAATGGACATGAAAACAGCTGCGATTGCATGGGATTCACTGTCTAGAGGCAGCGCGAGGGTAGAGGCTTAACAAAGAACAGGAAGCGATTTGATCGCGGCGAAATTTCTTGCCAAATATTTTCGGGGTGCCTGGTCGACTGGTAGTCAGTGGTAGTAGGTAGTAGTAGGTGGCACGTGACCAGGATGTGGTGTGCAGGGAGCAGATATATTTTTTCGGTTGCAGACTCAGACAGGCCCGGCTAAAACGAAGCCACCATCGTTACGCTTGATGATGTGGCGTCAAGGTGACTATGAGATATTAACTACCTCGCCTGGTATGCAGGAGGTCGTGAGTTCGATCCCGAAGCTGACGCCTGCTGCTGTATATTTGGAGTTTGCGTGTCTCTCTCCCCGTGGTCGCGTGGATTTTTCTCCGCGTCCTGCGGTTTTTCCCTCCACGTTTAGAATTGTTGAGCTGTCATTTGTGTCCAGGTCCCTTCTGAAAGCGAGCTTGACGGCTCAGCGGGACTTCTCTGGTAAATTAAAATAGTTTCGTTTCGTGCACACGAAACCAGTCAACGTCGACTAAAAATAACTAAACGAAGAACATTGAGTCGACGAATATTGCTTTTCCGTTGCCAATTTCATCGAACGACATCGCGCACCGTCGCTGGCACCGTGCCCCCCCCCCCCCGAGCGTGTGCGCGCTCGCTGTGCCCGCTCGCGCTCGCTGTGCCCGCGGGTCCACGTGTAGTGACATCGGGGATGTGACACATGGGCAGGACCCGAGTGAAGGTCCGACCCTTCGTAGCTGTAACTCCTCCGTATAGTGTAGTTAGTTGGGTGGTCACCACCCTAGGCTGTATCTGGTAAAGGGGCAGTTACCCCTTTGTGTGTTACGTGTTGATGTTACAATAAAAGTGTTGCCTCTAAAGAACAAGGTCTGCGACTCAGCTGGACTCACGACACACGCACCGTGGCGCCGCGCGCGCTGTGCCCGCCCCGCACGGCGGCCTGCGCGCCCACACGCCGGCGTCGTCGCCGCCGCTGTCGCCGTCGTCGCGATGCAGACCCCCGCGTGGCGCCCGCTCCCACAGCAGCCACGACTCGAGCTCGCCCAGCGTGAGGCCGCCCAGCAGCTCTGCCAGCCTGCAGCACAAGTGGCGAGACAAAGACCCCCCCCCCCCCCCCCCCCCACGTGGAGCCTTGAACAGACTTTCGGGGGCAAGTTGAAGTTGCTGTTAGTAGCGAGTGGGCACCTCGATGAAGGCCGGCACTGCGGCACACGTGGGGGGTGGGTGGCCAGCACCACGCCCGGCCGCTTTTGTCTTCCTAGTGGCGATGTTTACACACCGCACCAGGTGCTAATTTGAGGCCGAGTCGACCTAGGGGAGGCCCAGGACTGCTTCAGATAATCGTCGCACACGGGGCACACGTGTGGGTACACCCACACGGGACACATGCGTAGGGACACACACACACGCTGGGCGCGTACACACGCAAACACACGCGCATCAATGATGTATAATTGATTCATGCCCAACGTTCGCAGTGTACAGAGAGAGGCGTCGCACTCTGGCTCTGCAATGAACGGCGCGGTGATCATCGTTGTAATTAGCACGGTGCGTTTGCGCCGAGCCAGGCAGCAGCTTCATCGTTCAATGAACGCAGCGGCAGTGGCGCCATCCTGAGACCGCCGCTCGACTTGGTTTCTATAGCTTCACAGCTCATCGGATTGCTCGAGTGTAAATACTGATTCTGGTTTTGGGACAGAGTCACCAAGGACGTGCGGCGTCATCGTCCGTCTTGCACCACAGCCACAGTCTGGGCTGTAGCGTGAGCCCAAAAGGATTTAAACTGAAGGATGATGATGGTGGTGGTGATGGCAGGCCAAGTGGTCAAGCAGCTTCTGTTTGTCCGGATAGAGGGGGCTAAACGGGCACGACACGGGCCGGAGAAGAGATGGAGTGATGCGGTATGGGAGAATGTGGAGCTGAGTGGACTTGCCGGAGACCGGTACCAGCGGTGTCAAGATCGGCCTCTATGGAGGAGGCTCGTGAAGGACGCTACTTGGCAGTTTGAGGCAGTCGCCCTCCAGCAACAACGGAGGTCAGAGGAGCGACGCTCACAACAACGAGCGAAGCGGCAGGCGGATAAAATGCAGCAAGTTGGCACAGTAGGGGGGAACAATTGGGTGCATCTGCCAGTCATGTCAGTCAGTCAACCTTTGGCACCTGGGTCTGTCCCGTGATCTCCTGTCAACGAGCCTTTGACACCTGACGTGGCCTCAAAGTGCACCTAGCCTGGCATAGGCACCGTGGTGATGTCACCGTCACTCAGTGGCCAATGGCGAGCACTGGCATTGGCATTGGCTGGCAAGCCACGATGTGGCTACCTGTTGTCTGGGAGCGCGGCTGGACCAACGGGGAGCCCGCTTCTCTTGCGGCCGTCGATGATGACCGGGTGAATGTCCATCGCAGGACGAGGCTCGGTCAATTCTCGCTGCATCGCCGATCGAGATCTGTTTACGAAAAGAGACAAAGGCAATCTCGGGTGTAATTCATCCCTCCGCAGAGCATCAATACAAATGTCACTGCAGGAAAGTTCTGCCGGTCAAAGGAGCGTCTTCAAAGCCCACTTTCAGCTGCACCTTCCACACATTTTCTATTTTTCTCCTGCGGAATTGGCAGGGCACTTGTGCGTGCACATACACACACTCTGTCGTAAGTGCCTTAATCCAACAGTGGATAGAACATCACTGCTGCTGATGATGATGATGAAAGGAGCAGGGGGAGAAATATTTGTTGTGACATAGTCATCATCGTGGTGAGGCGTTTTGCCGCTCACCCGGCCACCGCAGCGACCCGAGAAATTGTCACAAGTCATGGCCGCAATTCAATTCTGATTAACACGGTTGGCTAGGTACGGTGCGAAAGAAGTTCAACAAACATAGATTGGTATTGTGTCTTACTGTCTACCCTTTCTCCCTCCCCCCACCTCCCATCGCATTTATAGATTTGGTGGCTCCCTTTGCCTCAATGTACCAGGTGAACACTGCCGCGTGCATGAAGCATAACAAACACAACATCCCGTCAGCTTCACAGCGGACGTTCAAGATGCCGTGACGTGATTTTGCCCTTGTTGCGTCCCCCAGCGCCACGGTCAGAAGTTGGCAAATTTTAAAATGACACGCAAATTACTCAATTTGGATTACAGTATAAACACACACACACGTGTAGCAACATCGCCACCTCCTGGCAGACCACATGGCTTGGGCGATTGGTGTTGGTCGTGTCGGGTATCTGGCTGCCTCCATACTGGCCGCTAATGATTGAGATGGGCTGAATGGTCCCCATCTCATTTAGTAACAGCCTTCTTCATGGTCTGATCGGGGAAATAGAATAATAATAATGATGATGATTAGGAGTCCGTCGACGCATGGACGCATCATTGGACCCAGTTTAAGCGCGAGCCGTGTGCTACTTTGTACAATTCGGAGGTTTCACAGGCAGCTAACAAGCAAAGTAGCTCGCCGCCGTATTCATCGACGTGTCACTACGAACGAGCAATTCTATTCTTGCGAACGGCAAATGTGTTCAGCAGCTGGATGTCAACGTGGTGGTCTGCTCGCCACGACGAGAGGGCTTGAGGAGAGAGAGTTCGTGCAGACTCATACAGCGGTGTGTGACGTGATCCCTCGTTTTTCGTTGCCATGGCCACAATTGCACTGCTGTGGCTTGTGTCTTTAACTTTACATCCATGAAGGAGAAGTGCACATCGGCCAGCTGGTGTTCTGTTGAACACCGCAATTCATCTGCCGGATGAACCTTAGCCTACTTTAGTCAGGGATAGATTCACACTTCTGCGAAAATACAATACATCTCACAAAATAAAACATTAATCGCACTGCTTAAAAAAGCAAGACCTGGCCATGTCAGATACCAAAGGTCACGTTTCAATATTTTTTTTCATGTTTCTTAAAGTACCATATTATGAACTTCACAGCCACCACATTATGTAGCCTATGACACAATGTGAAACACTGAAAGCTCTTAAAGTGACAAGATGCGTTTTTTTTATTTTACCAGGTAAGGCCCACTGAGCTGCATAGTTATTTTTCAGATGCGATCTGGCTATCACAAATGATAGCTGAACCAAGTGGCTTTTCACGTGGACATTTATAGCAGCCAAATACTCGAAGTGCATGCTTCTAACTGTGGAGGGAAAAACCAGAGGACCCGGAGAAAAATCCACGCGACCATGGGGTGAGAGGCACGCAAACTCCACATATACAGGCATCAGGGTCGAGATCGAACCCACAACCTCGTGCATACCGGGCGAGGTAGTTAACATCTCGCCATCGTGACTCCCCTACATGCAACGGGGACCGTGTGTCATTGTGGTCTGCCGAGCAACCCGTGTGATGATGATGATGTTACTGGTGACGGGTCAGGTTTGCAGGAAGCACAGTCATCGATCTCAGAGGCACCGCTCCTTACAGGAATTCAAAACGCATTCCCGGCCCAGATGCTCCAGACAGTGTTGCCCACGGCGTCGTAACGAGAACCATATTCTTTGAAAGCCCCGCTTTAGACCCTGCTGTCCAACGCCCTCGTCACGAAATCCTCCGGCGAGGAGTGGCGGCACGAGTAGTCAGTGCACCGCCCCCGTCATCCAGCCACCCGAGTTTGATTCTGGGCCGTGGGTAACAACATTAGCGACGAACGACATCCAAACTGCACCAGGGCGAGCCCATCCCCCTCGCTCATCAATTTCATCAACCCGCAATGGGCAGTTGTCCCGATACAACTCGCACACACTGGTAGAACTAGCGGACTCCACTCAGCTACCCCGATACAACACGCGTACTCTGGTGGAACTAGCGAACTCCACTCAGCTACCCCGATACAACACGCGTACTCTGGTAGAACTAGCGGACTCCACTCAGCTACCCCGATACAACTCACGTACTCTGGTGGAACTAGCGGACTCCACTCAGCTACCCTGATACAACACGTGTACTCTGGTAGAACTAGCGGACTCCACTCAGCTACCCCGATACAACACGCGTACTCTGGTGGAACTAGCGGACTCCACTCAGCTACCCCGATACAACACGCGTACTCTGGTGGAACTAGCGGACTCCACTCAGCTACCCTGATACAACTCGCGTACTCTGGTGGAACTAGCGGACTCCACTCAGCTACCCTGATACAACACGTGTACTCTGGTAGAACTAGCGGACTCCACTCAGCTACCCCGATACAACACGCGTACTCTGGTGGAACTAGCGGACTCCACTCAGCTACCCCGATATAACTCGCGTACTCTGGTGGAACTAGCGGCCTCCACTCAGCTACCCCGATATAACTCGCGTACTCTGGTAGAACTAGCGGACTCCACTCAGCTACCCCGATACAACTCGCGTACTCTGGTGGAACTAGCGGCCTCCACTCAGCTACCCCAAAACAACTCGCGTACTCTGGTAGAACTAGCGGCCTCCACTCAGCTACCCCAATACAACACGCGTACTCTGGTGGAACTAGCGGACTCCACTCAGCTACCCCAATACAACTCGCGTACTCTGGTAGAACTAGCGGCCTCCACTCAGCTACCCCAATGCAACTCGCACACACTGGTAGAACTAGCGGACTCCACTCAGCTACCCCGATACAACACGCGTACTCTGGTGGAACTAGCAGACTCCACTCAGCTACCCCGATACAACACGCGTACTCTGGTGGAACTAGCGGACTCCACTCAGCTACCCCAATACAACACGCGTACTCTGGTGGAACTAGCGGCCTCCACTCAGCTACCCCAATACAACTCGCGTACTCTGGTAGAACTAGCGGCCTCCACTCAGCTACCCCAAAGCAACTCGCACACACTGGTAGAACTAGCGGACTCCACTCAGCTACCCCGATACAAGACGTGTACTCTGGTAGAACTAGCGGCCTCCACTCAGCTACCCCGATACAACACGCGTACTCTGGTGGAACTAGCGGGCTCCACTCAGCTACCCCAATACAACATGCGTACTCTGGTAGAACTAGCGGCCTCCACTCAGCTACCCCGATACAACTCGCGTGCTCTGGTGTAACTAGCGGCCTCCACTCAGCTACCCCGATTCAACTCGCACACACTAGTAGAACTAGCGGCCTCCACCCAGCTACCCCAATACAACACGCGTACTCTGGTAGAACTAGCGAACTCCACTCAGCTACCCCAATACAACACGCGTACTCTGGTAGAACTAGCGGACTCCACTCAACTACCCCAATACAACATGCGTACTCTGGTGGAACTAGCGGATTCCACTCAGCTACCCCGATTCAACTCGCACACACTGGTAGAACTAGCGGACTCCACTCAGCTACCCCAATACAACACGCGTACTCTGGTGGAACTAGCGGCCTCCACTCAGCTACCCAAATACAACACGCGTACTCTGGTGGAACTAGCGGCCTCCACTCAGCTACCCCGATTCAACTCGCACACACTGGTAGAACTAGCGGACTCCACTCAGCTACCCCAATACAACTCGGTACTCTGGTAGAACTAGCGGCCTCCACCCAGCTACCCCGATACAACTCGCGTACTCTGGTGTAACTAGCGGCATCCACTCAGCTACCCCGATTCAACTCGCACACACTGGTAGAACTAGCGGACTCCACTCAGCTACCCCAATACAAAATGCGTACTCTGGTGGAACTAGCGGCCTCCACTCAGCTACCCCAATACAACACGCGTACTCTGGTGGAACTAGCGGCCTCCACTCAGCTACCCTGATACAACTCGCACACACTGGTAGAACTAGCGGCCTCCACTCAGCTACCCCGATACAACACGCGTACTCTGGTGGAACTAGCGGCCTCCACTCAGCTACCCCAATACAACATGCGTACTCTGGTAGAACTAGCGGCCTCCACTCAGCTACCCCGATACAACTCGCATACTCTGGTGTAACTAGCGGCCTCCACTCAGCTACCCCGATTCAACTCGCACACACTGGTAGAACTAGCGGCCTCCACCCAGCTACCCCAATACAACACGCGTACTCTGGTAGAACTAGCGAACTCCACTCAGCTACCCCAATACAACACGCGTACTCTGGTAGAACTAGCGGACTCCACTCAGCTACCCCAATACAACACGCGTACTCTGGTGGAACTAGCGGACTCCACTCAGCTACCCCGATACAACTCGCGTACTCTGGTGTAACTAGCGGCCTCCACTCAGCTACCCCGATTCAACTCGCACACACTGGTAGAACTAGCGGACTCCACTCAGCTACCCCAATACAACACGCGTACTCTGGTGGAACTAGCGGCCTCCACTCAGCTACCCCAATACAACACGCGTACTCTGGTGGAACTAGCGGCCTCCACTCAGCTACCCTGATTCAACTCGCACACACTGGTAGAACTAGCGGACTCCACTCAGCTACCCCAATACAACTCGGTACTCTGGTAGAACTAGCGGCCTCCACCCAGCTACCCCGATACAACTCGCGTACTC